CTTGTCGACAAAAATTTTCGGTCTATCAAAATAACGCGGAACGATGATGAATGCGAATATACGAGCTGATTGACATAATCATATTGGAGTCGAGTGAAAGTTGCATCGCGAGATGTTCATTATACCACTGTAGAATGGAATATATGGTATACGAATTCGAGAATATACACACGCTGCAACAGGGGAATTCTTCGGAAGTGAATTCCAACAGAATCTACCACGTTACGCCAAATCAGCAGTCTACTGACATTTGTAGTATCATAGTTTAAATTTAGAAGTTCTTAAATTCTTAAACTTTGATTAAAGAGGAAATAAAAGAGATTAAGTTTTTTTTTCATTGATTAAAAAAAGGAACTAAAAAAATATCAATTCATATAAAATAAAAATATGTTGATTATTATTGTAAAATTTATTCTTCTTTTTGTCTTATCCGATCAATCACTGCGAGATTAATCTTTCAAAAGAAGGATAAATTTTTATATAGAAATTCGTCTGTCTGTATAAACAGCATTGTCATTTGCGTTTATAAATACGTCTTAATCAAGGCTTCAGACGAATTTAGACCCAATTTGCTGCGCGTCTGAATATTCACTGTCCGAATTTTAATGAAATATCGCGTAGAAAATTAAATTTTCCGCCATTCGTTATCGGCTAATTTTAAATTGTGAATATTGAAAGCACTGAAATGAAGTTGGTGCGAAAAATTCGCGGAAAAACTACGAAAAAATATTAGATGTCTCTTACATTTTTTTCATTTTCAAAGAAGTGCAAGAAAGCGAGTGACTTATTCGAAAAGTCATCCTTTGCTTTAATTTATCTGAAATTTATTTTTAAGGTTCAAGTAAAAATTATTTGAGTTTTGAACTAATTGGAAGGTGAACGATGCTAACTCAAAGAAAACAAAGCGAAAGACATATATTTTTTTCTTTTAACACATTTCCATCTTTTTCAGGTTTTAAACTTGCTATTTATACTGTAATCGGTAATATGCGTTATCATTGCCAAATTCGCGAAATTAACATAGAGCCTGATTCCGTGCCGTGTATTTTGCAATGACGGTCTCTTTGGTTTGGTGAAAGGTAAGCTTAGGCTCGGCCAGAGACCGGTTGTAAATACACCTAATGCAATGCGTAGCTCTTATCGAGTCATTAGTATGCAAATTATGTGATCTAGATCGCAAATAAACGTTTCCTCGTGTTCATCCGTGAACTGTTGAAACCGTTTGCACTGTAAATATGCGAGCAATGCTCTATAGAAATAATAATATAATATAACATTGTGCACACAGCTTGAGAGAATCGAATATTTAAGTAAAATATTTGCAAATAAATAAATAATTGATCGCGAAATGCATTAGCTCAAAAATAAATAAAAGCGATATTCACGATAATAATTACATATCAAACATATATAAATCGTGAAGCAACATTACAAATAACACGATAATGCTAATAATATTACATAACACGATAATGTTAATTATTATTGTTATTCGCAGATTAATCTGTTCGTCTCCGAGTTTCTTCAATTCAGAGCATGTATCGCGCGATTACAATTTGAGAATCTGTGTCAACAATTTTAATCGTAAGTTGTGGGATTTTATAGCGCAAGGCGCTATAAACATTCCGATACTAGAATTCTTATTACGCAATTTTAAAAATTCCTGACAATTCCACATTCGCTTCGTGCGCATGAGCGCGAGTATGTTTCAACTTTGATCTTTACCTTCGATTTCTGTTTCAAGAACTTCGTGATCTTCGAGATCGGATTCGGCATCTTTGATCGAGGCATTGGCTTGTCTTCAACAGGCATTTCAAATTGCCAATAATCTTTTTCAAGTGTCTCAGTCTTGTTTCTTTTCAATCACAGATGGAAAGTCGTAAAACTCGTGTGCACTTTTTGTCTGACGTTTAAATTTCTACACTTATTCGAATTGCGCACAATTTTTCTGCAGAAAAGAAAAAATGCGACAAATAAACAACTTTGTGCGACCACAAATTTGATTCCACCTTCTTAAATAGCCACGCTATCTTTCGAAAAATTATCGCAGCAATTACGTGTCCATTTAAATATTAATTGTCTTCAACACTTTCGATAAATTGACTAGACCAATTTTTATTTCTTTAAAGTTTTTCAAAGTTTTTATTTTTTTTAATTATACACGCGATTCATCCGTCGATGCACAATTGTCTGCGCGAGGGCTGAAGTAACACTGGAGCTTTCAGAGTAAATCTAATACGTTCATAAGTAACGAGAAGCGTGAAGAGGGGAGAATAAAACGAGTGGCACATATACTTCGACAGATACTTTTCTCGCGGTTGCGCATCTTCGGCTGCGCAGCACGTGCTACCAGCCTGAATTTCTCATGCTTTCTTCGCGGATATTCTTAAAGAAAACTGTTTTCTGTTCAAATCGATCTTAATGCAATATAATAATTGAATAAAGTCCTAAAATTTTAAAATTATTGCATAATTATGTCTCATCTTTTCTTCTCTGTGTAATGCAATAAAAGATAATTTGTGAGATTTTTAGTTAAAAACTTCAACTTCTGGAACGAAAGAAAAGATTCAGAATATTAAAAGAGTTAATCATCTTTATTAATAATAGATCATTATTATTTGAACTGTACTTCTTCTGTAAAGCGCTACGTAAATTAATATTGAAGTAACACCAACGCAGCGTGAAAATTAATAACAAGGTTTAGAGTGTTTTTCTGCGGAAAATTTTTAGCACTTTTCTCGTGTAACAGCAAGTATAGTTAAGCGAAATCCGAGCTGAACGCGATTTTTAAGCGGCAAGTTATGCTTGGCTTCACGATAAACACCGCGCGAGCATCCAAAAATAAACGAAGGCATGTACGCTCGGCATCCTGTCGTTTATTTTTTCTCCATCAGATCGCGAAGTATGTAAAGACAGAAAATTTCTCTGGTTTGAATATGCATGGGTTATTCGCCTTTGTTACATTAATAGTAATGTCCTCCCTTGATTTTCTATAAAATGCTGAATTTTAAATATTCTAAATGTTTAATTTTAAATAAAGAAAATTTCGAAGATCTTTCTTTTATTAATTTTATCGCAACATTGCATATTTCGACGTAATTTCTATTACTCATTTTTACGATTTCGTATTCTTACAATATCTTAAAAGATCAATTATTATCTGAAACCGATATTATCATCATCAGTAGATGTCATATCTTCTTTAAGCTCCAAAATATTTTTATTTCGATAAGAATGTGATTACTCTTTTTAGAATTCGTATTTAAAATTAGAAATTTATTGTTCTAGATATCACATCTTTTTACAAAAAAGATATAAAACTAAAGAGAACACATGTCAATTCAACCATATGCGTAATTTATTCGACTGCAATTGAATTCGCTGTCTCTTTCTTAAGAAATGTGCCCTGCAAACACGTGTGCATGGAAAATATTCTGTCAAGAAACACGATCTGTTACATCTGTGCCAATATATAGCGACTGTGTCAATTCTCATTGACAATACATCACAATTATGCAAGCGCTGAGTAGTTCATAGAGTAAGACTCTTGATATATGTATGTTTATAATACTTGTCACGTACACAACATTTTTACACGCAAAAATGTTCTAAGTTTCGTTATCCCACACATAACTCAACGATATCAGCCATCGTAGAGAAAAGCATTCTCGTAAGCACGTCTTTTAAACGTTTTTTAAACAAACAAAAAATAAATTCTACTATTGTCAGATATCTTCTTTAAGAGAATATAACACATTTATTGCTATCGGCATTCGATTTTTTTGGCACCGGCAACCGGCTATCAGACTAAAACAAACATTTTCAACAAATAACCCGGGGTTTTTTTTTTTTTTTTTTTATAATAAAATTCTAAATGGCACAAACGAAATAATAATGGCGATGCAAAATAAAACGTGCACTATTGAACAATTTTTATTCCTAACACATGTTATATGCTGCGATGCACACTTCACTGAAACGTTTGTGATAATAAAAATTTTACTGTAACGTATTAGCACGGTAGAATATTAAAAAACTGATAAACGCGTTTTCCGTTTCTACGCTAACAACTACTACGCTTTTCCGCTTCGAATCCATACGCACAACAATGCGGTGTAAATATCTATCACAATTACCATCTCGCCTTGAAATCGATAATCTTCATTGCCTTTGACGCGGCATCGATTAGCATGAAAATATGCATGTCATGAGAATCCGCTGAATATGGAAAACGTATAAATATTCAATCGCAGTTTGACAGAAGTTTACGAAAACTCAAAACTATTGAAATGTATCATGAGAATGAAATAAACGATAGTGACAATGCGATATGAGGAAAATATTATGCATGCGCGAGTTAGAGAATATCGAATAAGTGCATGCTGCACATTCATCTAGGTTCTAATTGAAAGTTACATACTACGACGAGGAGGAGCATGCAGTTTGTTTTCAGCGATGGTGTGCGATTAAGATAAAAACCGGAATAGAAACCTAATTCAAATTAAATCCAAATGTGAATTTCGATGTTAAAACAGCGCTAAATCGTGATTAAAGAAGCCTAAAATTTAAAGTGTCCTATTGTTTGTATATCAGTATTCACAGATTATTGTGGATAAAACAATAGCATAAATATAGGAGGATCTTAAAAAAATCTCTACAGACAATTTTACCGCGAGAGCTAACAATACGAATATCTTCTTGGGAAATACAGTTTGATTTTCACGAGATTGATACGAGACTTTGTTGCATTTGTGTCAATTCAAGATCGAATATACCGACAGAAACCATCGAAGCGGGTGAAGCGGCTGAAAGTTGGCTAAAGGAACAATACGGTAGGCACGGCCGCAACATCGCGTGACACAATGTCGGGTGCACCCGAGATCTATCTAACAAGGTCTAAGGTGCGGCAGTGTCATCTAAAAGGTGCATTGTTCAACATCGAGCATTAGGGTGCCTATAATATCATCGATCACCGAGGAGGAGGGAGGAATAATCGATACCTCCGAATCCTGGATCTGCTCGGAATCAGCTGATGTACTCGAAGTCTTCAGGATGCTGTACAGCTTTACGTAGGGGGCCTTGATCAGCTGTCAGCCAATACAATCGGCCGTATTTAGCAAATATTCTGGGTCGCGACATCATTGAGGTCTACCGAATCCCGCGCGATCCTCGCGTCGAATATTAACAAAAGCCGCGCATTTACGAACCGCCACCGGGAGCCGAATAGAGTGGACTTTGGTGTTACATCGATAACGGTTAATTGTTCGCGCGCGATATCACGAAATATTTAGCATTTCTCGACACTATGTGCTCGACACGAGGATCGGATTATCAGCGAAATAAGTAGAACGTTGTTGAAAAAATTATGGAAAGAGAGATCGATGCGACTCGAGATATCGGAACTAATAACTTCTCTCTTTTCAACAAATTATATAAACACCATCGCAAAAATCAAAAGTTACAGACACATTTCGTATTAAATTTTAAATCAATCGATTCAATTTTACGGTAAGAATTTTAAATAAAAACCCCTGATTTGTAGCATCTTGAAAATATATTAAATTCAAATTAAGTCTTTGTTAAAATAGAGAACAAGAATTTCTCTACAAAAATTAAGAATTTACAAGTTGCGAACTATAATAATATTATAAATAAAACTAAGACTTAACATTAATAGAAAAGTAAATCTCTATTCTCCATTTATCAAATTTATCTTGAATATTCAACGTTAAATAATTTTGTGACAAAGTTCCTACCTAAACACGTTAAAAAAGATCTACAAAACCATAGAAAAATATCTCTCTGCTATTAATTCCCTTTGCTTTAGCAATATCTTTGTACTTGTTGCAAAATACAATGGCCAAAGTACTCACCTCCCAGGATTCCCTCGTCAGCTCGCTGATTTCATCGCCCTGTTCGCGAGATTTGCTCTCATCCGTGGAATCCCCACTTTCGCCGCCTTCTTGCGGTGACAGTTCAGGCGACAGGTCGGTGTCGGTGTCGGACAGAATGTAGCCGTGTTCCCGCCAGTAATTTTCATCCAGCTCGCCATACAGATTCGGCACCCACGCGTGAATAAACCTATACAAATCGTCCACTCTGCAAAAAAAAAAACAACAACAAACGACTCATATTAATCACATGTCACACCACCGCCACGCTAGGACACCACCGCTACGCAGTAATCTCGTGACTTGTCCTTGCGTCGGACAAATTGTCACATGGGACGCAACGTTACCTGCGATGCACGAAGGGCATCACATTCGTCATCGCCGTTCTCACGTGTCCGTCGTAAATAAAATTCAGCATATTGCCAAGCGTGTTCTTCGTCCAATTCATAGCCACACACGGGGCGTTTAAAGACGGGAAGAAACGATAAAACGGCACGAGATATACCGCCGAGCACAATTGCAGATGCAATACGTGTCAGCGACTCGAAATTGCGTGCCAACTGCGAAACACTTATCAGAGTTTGCACTTTGCGTATCGATAAATTCAATTCTAACCTCTCAACAATTCGCACCTGGTCTTGCAATTATTTTTTAATTCCGGATGACGGTGTGTTGGAAATTAATTAGTGAAAAATGTCCCTCTCACGCGACGGATCTCTTAGGAAAACACGCGATATCCGTTATACGCAAATATGTATTTTTTTGCACACTGAGAAACGAGCGGAAAACAGAGCACATACGTCGCGAATGTCGAGACTCGCTAACAACGTCACGTGCTGATTCGCTCGGTACACCTGTACTTGTGTACGCGTCGCGGAACATTGCTCGCCGTATCGCGCCCGCCGTATCGCGCTGACCGAGCGTTTCAGTTTTTCACAGCCAACAACTTTTTTTTTACTTTCTACACTTTTTCAAGATAAAATAAAATAAATGAAAAATATATTTTTAATACTTATTATTACCGTTAATTTACGCTAACTGCAAAAAATTACTTCTTTTTAAGCAATTTACTTTTGAATTGAGATAAAGAACGCTTTGACACTAAAATAGCGCGATACAAATTTAAATTTTAACATTCAGCGCTGTTAGATGTCATTATAAATGATTTATTGCGCGGAAACAATCCATAACATGACACACATATGCATAATAGCAAAAGTATTTTAAGCTATAATACGCGACATCGATTTGTTTTTTAAATCGGTTCAATGTTTTTTCTTTGTTTTATAACCTTGTTAAATTTTATTTATAAACTCTTATGTAACGTTAAATTTAAATATCGTTTTTCTATTATACGAATGATAGAAATATTCATATATACAAAGAATATGAAAGACTAAAAGAATTAACTGACAAAGTCGACATTAATGCTGTACTTAAAGCAAAATTTTTTATTTCTATACTTGAGAATATTTTCAAATATAGATAGTTTGATAAGTCACGTGATTAAATTCGCGATCACAAACTTTAATTAATTATTTTAGAGTTTTGCTGACATATTTTAAGCTTCAACAAAAATTTTCAACTATAGAAAGATCTTTGTTCCTAGCATTTAATTTAAAATCATCTCGATGGTCGAAACGACATATTAATATATAAAGCAATTCAACTCTCTTTCATGTCTATCATTTGTTGATATCAATGTGTTAATTTTATTCTTGTAACACTTGTGGATTAATTATTTTTGGTAATTTAATAATTTATCTGATAATACAATTACCGAGAAATTCTCTCAGATTGATACGTAGAAACGAGGTCGCCTTAGATCTGAATCAGTCAAAGCGTTTAAAAATTAATCTTGTGTATCATGATACCAAAAAACAACTTATGTTTGTAAGCAAGTTAAATAACAAAAATTATTAATAAGTTGCATGATATTATATATATAAACCATCAATTAAAAATTCTGAAAATCGAAATCGCAATCTCAACAATCGAACGCAAACAACCTTCGATAGCGAGCGAATCACGTTTATCTCTTTCATTCCTTCAGAATTAAAACTATAACATTTTATAAGATATAAAGCGAAGTTAGAATAACGGGATTAAAGTAGAAATGCGATACGTGACTTAATCTTAAGTCACGCGAAATTAAAACATTTTTTACTATTATAATGATTTGTAAACACGTTTGCAAAATTATAAGAAGCAAAACACTGATAGATAACGCACAGTTAAACCTTGATCAAGCATCGGCGAGTGTATAAATAGAAGATCGCGCAGCAGAAGTGAAAATCTATTTTGCGATTCTTGTGACTAAGCATGTATCCGGTCATAACGTGTTCTAGGTGCCACTCTTCGTGGATGTGTGTAAGCCATATAACAAAAATAACATGCTGCGAGAAAATTTACCGACGAATTTCTTCTAGAAAAGCGTCACCGCTTTTGTTAATATTTATTCTGGCCAAATGATTTACTTATCGCGGACAACGCGACGCCTGTAACTCGTTTTCCGACAACATGTTAGTCGTTTAAAAAAACCCGAGTCTTTTAAAAATACGGATTTCAGGAATGCATGAATAAGGAAAAATTTTGGTTCTCGCGTTTGCAGAGTCTGGCGCCTACGCAAAATACATCAAATAATATCGAAGATGTTGTTTCACTGATGATTGCAAATTTTTAGATTACACTGAAGTTAAAGGCAAATAAACCTTATCAGAAGAGTTTTCAATGAAGTGATTAGTTTAACCGTACGAGGAAATATTATATAATATTCTTTTTTTCTTTTCTATCTTATTTCTCTCTCGGAAATCGTAAAAATTTATTCACCTATTTAAAGTAGGTTATATTTATATATTAAATTTATATAATTTAATATTAATATTAAATATATGAAAATAAATTTAATATTTAATTTATACATTATATTTTTAATACTTTAAATAATTAATAAATAATTCCAAATTATAATTTGGAAAAATCCAAAAGCTCGATTATTAATGGTTTTACGCATAACACAATGACGTAAGAGGCGCTGAGACATCATGACATCTATCGCAATAAAAGTAATAATTACCTGTTACGTGGTACGCTGAACCAGTATTCGGGACGCAGCTTCTTCTTGCCGTAGCTCATAATTGGCGTCGACCGCGGTATCTTCTTATCCTTCGGCCTTCCCGTTCGCAATCTCAGGTACAATGGTGGGTCTTCGCAGGAGCGCGCAGGTCGAGGAATCAATTCTGCGTAATGCGAAAACTTATTAATAAAGATCGGGTACTCAATTAATATAAGTTTTATAATTAACGGATTTGTCTTTACACTTGATATAGTCTGCGAGTGTAGGCAACAAGTGCGAGATTCACGGGTTCATCATAATAAATAACTCTTGTTACAATAAGAAGCTCATATTTCAGATAATTTCTCGAATTTCTTTAGAAACTACGAAGAATCACACACAAATACACAAATAAATTGAAAACATGAATAAGTTGGAAGACGAGGCAAGCACATCATCACAGAAAAGTGAGTAAAGAGTGTTAGAGTGAGAATTATTATTGTGTGAAAAGAGAATAATGGTAACAATGACGACAGCCGTAATATGTCAATAGTGATTATATAAATATCGTAGGAGAGAGTCTTACAAAATATTCGTGCAGTAAGAAATGGTGATGAAATGGAAATAACCATTACAGTGACACAGTGTAGAGTCGCCCGCAAATTGCGCAAATCATGTTTAATGCAAGACAGTAGACAAAAAAAAATAAAAAGAAACAGGTACAGAGAAAACGATCATGTTAGACGATCGAAAAGATGCACGAAAGAGGCAAATGAAGAAATTGGGAATTTGTGGCACGAGGAAAAGAGAGCAAGCTAATACTGTATGAACCTACCCAGGCCTTCGAGTTCGGGAAAATTAGGTGCTTGGACTAGAGGGACAACAGAAACAAATGACATTACTGCATTAGTATGAACCTATTGCTAGCTAAATTATGAAACCCGTTGTGCTGATCTGAAATAGATAAAATATTATTGGGAAGAAAGAGATAGAAAGATGATTGAGCAATCAATGCAGAAATATACAACAGTTACTACGAGAATCTACAACAATCGAACATATCATATCTTGCAGATATACATTTTGATTCAAAATGATTATTCGATTATTATAGAAAAAGATTAATAATGTGTAAAATTTCACAAATTTGACTCTCTAAAGTACGTTTTAAAGTGGCAATCAAAAAATTATTTAAATTGTAAACAAGACGCGTCTGTCACATGCAATGCGGCACAAAGGGTTTCAAAATTCTGAAGATGTATTCATATATCCTGTTCATAAAGAAACATATGTTATAAAAGTGTATGTTCAGTTCTTCAAATCTTTCCATTCAGATGTGTGTGTGTGCCCTTGATATATATATTTAACGTATCAGTGATTTCAAACTAAGTGCTTGACGACAAGTGAAAAATTGATCTACATCAACCCCGTTCAGTGTACATAACTTCTCTCTTCCGATCCTCGATAAATATTTTACACGTCGGAGAAAAACGATAATAGTTTACTCGGTGGAATGACATACGGAACAGATAATGATAAACAAATATAATCTAAGACAATGATAAACTACTTTAATGTACACCAAAGTAAGCGCATTTGGTTACCAATTCCGAATCTGTGATTTGGCGATTTTAAGGCAGGAATAACGAAATTTAGAATTTTGAAAATATGAAAAATTATATTTTGCACAAAACTGTAATAATTTATAGCCAAAGGCGCTCGAAATTCTAAGATAGGGATAATAAACTGGCAAAACAACACTGTTTAAAAAGCTGTCTATGCGTTTTCGGGCAAGTGCAGTGCATGATATACTAATCCCGTTTGCCATTCTTATCATCACTTGTTAACTTCTTTCCACCGTATATACTGTCAATACTAATATTAAATGGTATATGAAAATAACAGTGATGAGAGTGTTCTGTGTAAAAGAAACGTCTGTTGAAGTATGTCTTCACGAATATTAGATTGTTCATTCCGATAATGAAGTACGTAAACATGGAGTACATTACGGATACGCAGTGATACTTACTGTCGAAACTCACAAACAGTTCCGGCATATCCTCGACGGAGACCATACTACGGTAATCCAATCGTGGTGCTGTCGTCGAAGTTTTGCTACCTCGACTGCTATCAACGCTGCTGCTGCCGGAGGACGTCAACGGTTGCTGTCTAATAAAAGTACCCACGGAAGAGCGTCTGAAAACAAATTTATAAATAAGTAAAAAAATCATAAGAGGAAAAAAGTTTCTCATGTAACAATTTTTCCAATGCTTTTGAACGACAAGTACGTGTTGGCACATTCACGTGTCTGATACGGATATAACACATTGAATTTGCACATTCTTATGGTTCAAAAGCAATTTACATATATATGATAACATTAATAACAATAATAATGGTGGGGGGTTCAATAATCAGGGTATTCAGTATACATGGCGACGAATAATAAATCATGTGGCTGTTTGAAAATTTTTACTAAGTAATGTGTTAAATCGATTATATGTGTTGGCTGTAAGCAATCTAGAGCGGTATCGGCAGTGTCTATCTTTTTCGGCAAATAGTATGATTTACCTGTAAGCAGGAGCCCTCAATCCCAGAATGTCTTGAAAATTAAACAGTAATAACAAAACAATGAAAACGTGTGTGGGAGAGAGAAGCAATTGTAGAATCCTCCGTACACTTGCGAAATTCAAATTACTGATTGTGAGTAGTAATATTTACGTATAATTGCTTCTGGAATAATTACGCGATATTTACAACTTTACTAGTTAGCGATGTAGTTCATTAGAGCCGGAAAAAACATAGGCGTTCCTATGACGGTATAGCATTAATTGATAAAAATAATTATCCGATAAGCTAGGTGTAACATGCTTAGTACTATATGTCATTATACAAACACCTGCGCTTGCCAGCTCATATTGGCCTACTTACATGAATTTTTCTGACAATTAGTCAATTTTCATTTTACAACTTTAAATAGTATTAATTGTATAATTAATAACAATTTATCCTGCAATAATATTGAAAGAGGATTCTACTGTGAAATAAAACATTTACAGAAAAGTACGAATACAAAAGTCGATTAGGTAAAGAATAGATACTGTAAAATAACGGGAATGGACGAAAGGGAATACGTAACAACATAAAGTCATGATCGGGTCCAGACTCACCCGATGAGGCCTCCTGGACCGGGTGAGAAATTGCTGGAGTCCTGGGAGAGAGAGGAGGCGGTAAGCGGAGGAGTTCCGCCCGCTCTACCGCCACTCTCTTCGCTGGGGGTTTTAGCAAAGAGGCCCGAGCTAAAGTCACTCACCAGGTTGATCGGCGAGCTTTTTTCCACCACCATTACATATTTTTTGTTAGTTATATTAGAAATGATAGTTAATTAGAAACGACAGTATATTAGAAATGACGCGTTAAACGTTAATGAATATATAAATTCGTGTCACAAGTAATATAAATATCTTGAAGTTTAGTCACAATCAACCGCGCAATAATTATCAGCTTTCGGAAATAGCGATTGGACCGGTTAATGTTTTTATACCTTCATATTTACACATTCCTTCCCCGAGTTTTCCATTTTGTTATATTTTTCATATGCGGGAAGCCACTCTTTCTATGCAAGTAGCTAATGTATGCTATATTACGACAAATGAGGCTATACTTGTTTAAAAAATTTTTTAAATTAATGTTTTATCTAATAAAAATATAACAAATTATGCACATAATGAATAACCTCATTTGTATTCTATGTTCTCTAAAAATTAGCAAAAAGCAAATTAAAATAAAAGTTTATACTATTCCTTTTTCTCTTTTAATAAATGCGTATCCTTGCAGAAATGTTTTTCATTCTTCACACAGATAGATAAGAGAGTGAAAAGGTAAAAGCGCTTGTAAAAGTATCGTATTTGAAGCAACTTGAATGCTAAGTTATTAGTAAAAATATATATCACAGTATAACGTGATATAAATTTGTTCACCTTGAGAAAACTTTGCTGAAAACAGAAGAGTGATGGGAATCCGCACTGTTCGGAAGGCTCGATACCTTGTCGGAAATGGATTTGCTTTCGTCTTCCTTTTCTCCGGTTAAACCTTCCATCCAGGATAATGGATATGACAAACGTTTTAACATCTAAAACCATTGTCAGAAAATATAAAATATATTAGTAAAAAGTATCGTTCCATGTGGCAAACATTGTTGAAATATGTACCTTGTTTTTTCGAGTTTCCTGTTTATCGTCCTCCTTGTGTTCTTCGTCCTCCTTGTGTTCTTCTACATTACCCTCTAAGCTAAAAGATACTGAGCTAGCTTTTTTCCTACCATTAATAGTAGGAGCAGCCTCCAGCGAAGTCGTAACGTTCGTTGGTGCTATTGTTATAGGAGGTACCCAATCTGAGGATAAAACAATGTCCGCGTCTGAGTATACTTTTTTCGAAGGTATAGGCTGAACTACCGGAATAGGTGGATTGGGATCACGAATATCGATACCAGAATCATGGCACGACAGTTTGACTAGAGATCCTTCTTCGTCCTCAGGAATGGCATTTGATTTGGCCGGCTCCGTCTGTGGCAATAATTATTTATACATATTATTTTTATTTAACTATAATTACACACATTTTATTAATTGTTACAATGGAAATATAATCACCTTATCAGAATTTAACGAATCCTGCTGTTCATCATCAACGGAAAACGTACTCCGATCTTTACTAGGAACTGCCCAATGATGGTCAAGCATAGAACGTCTGCGTTCTTCTAATGTCCTACTAGCTTGACCGCCACCGCAAAATTCTTTGTCATTACTATCCTTCTCTTTATCTTTATCTTTGGTCGAGGTTGAATTCTCCTCCTGTAAAATATGAACAATATTTACTCGCTAAACCAAACGCTTCACCTTGACAAATGCTGACTGCGGCAAAAGAATACATACACTTTGGAGATTGGTAGGAGTAACAAGCTCTCGTTCAAAGGCCTTTGGAAAAGCATCGCCGTCCCTCTCGGCACAGCTACACACACTCTCACTATCGTCACCTGCTAATTCAGGGAAATTCTCGTCCTTCCCAGGAGATTGACACTTACGATTATCTATTTGGGGTTTCTTCATGTAATAAATTTCAGGCTTTTTATCCAAGTTCCTGGACTCGGTATGGGACACCCTCATGTGCGCGATGTCGTAATAAATCGCAGCATTGACCACAAATTCCATTGGAGCAATCACTCCGTAAGATTCAGCGCCATGCTCGATGACAAGAGGATCTGATACATTTGGATCAAACATAACTGCATTTGGCGTAACTAACAAAACACCGCCAACTACACCCTGCAAGAATATTTGTATAAAATTCAGAAATGTTAAAACTTTCATATAAAGTTGATACACATATATATATGTATTAAGGAAATAAAAATGTTACCTGGCCATCCGTGATATGCCTGACATTAATTTTCAGAAATCTTTCTCTAAATGGTTCATCTTCATCCGCAGTTGCGGAAGTTCCAAGAGGTGTTTTTATTCGTTCCATATGGCCTGGTTTTGGTGACACTGGTCTTAGATTGTCCAGAAGTTCTGCAAAATTAAACATTGCAAAAATCAATGCAAAGTAAACATATACGCTTTATAAAATTCACTAGTACACATATCTTGATTATTGTATAATAAAAAAATGACGTTAATCTTTTGATAGTCTAAAATGCAGGAGTTTGAAGTCTTGCAGTTTTACACTGACAAACAATTTAACCTTATCTCTTTTGAGTGAGCAACAACGAATGCGGATGTAACAAATACTGATTCGCGAATCTTCCAACGGAACAGCTTTAATTATTTAATGATGCTTTACGAAAGCTTACAAATTATAATAGTTATTTAAGTTCCACCTGTACACGTCAAAGCTAACCTAATCTCACGTTCGGAAAGTTCTGACATGATTCGTTACTCGCTGCAATACAAATGTGTATGTATGTATGTGTGGTTTTGACGAAATCAGTAATTTCAGCATCTGTTTCATCTGCCACAACATCGTAGTTGTAGCATAGGCATCATTACAGTGTATATACAGGCTAGGTTTGCGCGGCAACGTGAACTGTATTTACGTACACTTTGCGCCATGTCGATCAGCTGATGGAGGTATATACCGGGTGACCCGTGTGAATGTTGCAAGATTTACACATTAAACAGGTTTACTTACAAAAATTCACACATTAACAGATTTACTTACAAAAAGAGACAAAGAAGATTAAAAAATATGTGTTTTATGAAAATAATAGTCTTAAAATCACATAATTAAGTCAATTTTATTTAATTTTTTTAACTCTTTCATAATTTATACTGACATGAATCTCTATTTACTTATTTTAGAAAAACAATATGCAATATTTTTAAATGCAAAAAATGATATATTAAATATCATGTGTTCTCGATGACACATCGACGATTTTTTAATCATTCTGCCAATTTTGATCATGCAGTTTTTCCGCATAAAAAATGTTAAGACACAAAATTTTATTTATGATATATCATAATGCAATGTTAAACTACCTTTCTGATGTAATTGTGTTTTTCGTGTCGCGCGCCGTGCTAGCCGTTTGAGTTGCAGATTGCAGAAAATGTAAGTCCACGATAGACTGCGATCGCGCTCGGCATCGACCTCTTCCTTCCGTCCCAGCATTGCAAAACGTGACGACGCGTACGTACGTTGTTGCGGTCGTATGTGCATAATTCGCGCTGTAGTGCTACTGGTGCGACACGGCGGCGACAAAGCGATTGCCCCCCGAAGAAGACATAAATAAACTTCAAGTTTAAGCAAGTGTGTGCATAACAATCTGCTATTGTTCTGTTAAACGGACCAACAGCCGAGCAGCGAAACACGAAATTGTGTAACACTGGGGGAATCGAATTTCATGTTGCTTCACTGTAAACGTTAATAGTTTCTCTCGCGTGTACAATACGGAAATTAAATTAGCATTGTCCGCGAATAACTAAATTATATTTCCTAGAAATTCGATATTTCCTAGATATTTTCATACGCGAGTACATATATTATTACTATTCGTATCTCTGAGATATATGCTTAGTTTTTTTAAACTTTATACATTGTGAACTTGTATGTAAGATGATTTATCATCACATTAATTATTTTTGTAAATTCTATCGTTTTAATGAATTAAATAATTCTTCTAATTAACTTTCTCTTACAGAAATTTCGTCCAACCAATTTGTCAAACTCACCTTGACGAAAAGTGTAATAATTAGAAAGTATGATAATGCAACATTCTGACGAGGATGTGACGAGTACTTTCGAATGCAAAACTGTCCTAATTAGTTCGCGACGGACCGTGATAAATCTGGGCTAGTTACTTCTATCAGTGATCGACAAGTACAGCTGTTCCCCACAGGCGACAGGTAAATAACGTGAAAAGCAAGTGTTAGTCACAATAGTACTGCGTATCGATTTCTCGGCGACACGAAGCGCAACGTGGTGACGCATTAATATTCATTCGGACGACTTTGTAGACAGATAATATCCGATATTCTAATTCTTTTTTTGTGTGTGTGTATTTAGCCGAATAAGTTAATCTAGTGCAGCACACGCATACACTTCGACGTAGTTATTGCTCGAATTCTGCTACATTATTCATGCCATGCGTTGCCCGCGTATTAAATCTGTCTTATGCATTTGCATAATGCGCAACAGGATATAGGACTCTAGGCGATGTTGTCAGCGGATCGTCGAATTAGCCGAATCCGATGGGAATAAGAACGAAATCTGTATTAATTACCCGCCCCTCGTTATGTTACGTCATAAGCGAAAAAAAGAATCACGTCGTCCTTCGATTGTCGGATTATGAAAATTCGAATGTAAGTAGATTTTAAAAGTCATCTACAATATTTCTGCCGCTTCACAAGTGATTTAGCAGTGATTAAGCGGAATTAATTAACAGTCAAGATGTTCGCGAAATTGCTGTTCGTTGAATCTGATCTCAAAAATTTCGCGTACAGCGAAATGTTGCAGAGCGCGAAAAGGATTTAAATGGAATGACGTTTGAGAATCACCTTTTTCTTCGGGTGGCAAGTCGTCCTGCGATTCGTGATCGTGGCAAGGGTCAGGGCTAGGCGCGTCGGTGGTCGATCCGCCTCCCGGGCGTCCTTCTCCCTTCGCTGGCACCCATAGTTGTTGACCGGAATAAACGAAAGTACTTCCAAGCCTGTTCAATTTGCTCAGCTCCGACGGCGTCGTATCAAATCGCGCCGCCACCGATGTAAGCGTGTCCCTGTCACCCACCTGTAATTACGGAAGCAAACATGTCATTAAGCGTCTCAACAAGAAACGTAATTTTTCGAGAGAATTGCTTTCCTCGCGCGTCTAACGCTTTTCACGCGCGTCTCGTTCAAACAACGAAAAAATGTCATCTCTCACGTTTGTTACGCCACGCGATTCGCAGCGTTTTAATTAAATAATTAAAATTGTTTTTAGCTGGATAATTAAAATCAAGAATGGAAAATAAATAAAAAATTATTCCAATCCGCGGTTCCCTTTTGTTAGCAAAAATGTCTGCTATATTTCTATTAGATATAAAACATTTCAAAGCGCTAAAAAACAATGTACTAATTAATAAAAAAATATAGTAAAATGTACTAATTAGTAGAAAATTTTGTTTTTAAATTTAAATTTTAAAAAACAAAAATTTTACTTTTTTAAATTTAAATTTTAAAAAACTAAAAATTTTACCTTTTTTCCCCTACTTTTTCCAGCTCGCATCTGTGCTTGCGAGCATATTTAGAGAAAGATGTAGAACACGACGCTGAGAGGATAATAAAATCTCCGTTACTCCTTGAGCGCGCACCTGAGCTTTCTCCGGTGTGTGTTTCCTTGCGCGTACGCGCCCGCAATAATGTGCATTAGCCGATTTGCATAAGCCGGTAGAAATTGCGCGCTCAAGAGTATCGGACGATGGAAAATTGAATTCCTGGAAAAAGAGCCTTGTTGAGACTTGGCTCATGTCCGCTTGTGCGGTATGTCTTTTATGCAAATTCGTAACGCAACGACCTGTAACCCGGGCGTTGCGACAATAACCGCTTCGATGCTACACGACTCGGCTATTTGTCGCGATCGCTTTCGCGCGCGGACAAAAGCGCGCGCCAAGAGGTGGGAAGGATCGACATAATTCGATTAAAAAGTTCGTCTCCTCGCGAGGCGGATGCTAATCTCACCGTCGGGGGTCCGCCATTTTCCGCGAACGCCGGCGGAAAATAGGGTTTCCGACGCTTAAAACGCGATTTATGTCCCACCGGGAAATTCGTTAATTATTCCGCGACACTTCAAGCCTCTCTCCAATTGCGCGTTGTCTACCGCTTCCCCAGTGCACTCGTAATTCCATTAGTCGCCGTGACACAGGAATCTTGCATTGCTATTATCATTTTTCAGTGAAGTTCTCGGGAGCTTAAGCCATTCGCTCGAGCAATTAAGCCGTTTATTTCCAAAGCGCATTTCAAGTCTATAATTTTTAAGAGCTTATGTCACATTGCCGTTTTTATTATTTCAAACAGTTCCTGAGCGCGATATTTATGATTTTCCCGACATATTTCTTGAAATTCTCAATCGCTAAAATAATTATCTAATTTTAATGTAATTCTAATCAATGTGTTGTTTCACATTTTCATCTTATTTAATATTAAATTTTTAATAAATTAAATATATTTGCTTCCGTTAAGATAAAATCTATCAGAAATTATTCAAAACAAGTATATTTTCAAAGCACGTCATGCATAATTTTTAATTGCTTATAATTTACAAGCTGTTGATTAAAAACCACATCCGCGTAATTTTAACACAATTATCATTATTTATTTTCAGATATTTTCCATCTACATAAAAGAGTGTTCTATTTCTTAAATTATTCTTCAAACAAATGGAACAGAATGCGGATATGGCTTTCGCTTGAGAACCTGCTTTCGACATTCTGGAGCGGGACAAGGATAGGATAATCGAGATTAGACGAGTGATAGAGAAAGCCGTTCAAGGCCCCACCTTTTCTCACTTGCGTCCCATTAGCGGTGCGGTCGAACAAGAAAAAGAGCGGCCATTCCTTCGGCAGAGATTAGACGCGTGGGCGGCGGGGAGAGGGCAAAAAAAAGAGAGAGATCGATTAAAACAAAAACAAAAAGCGAGAACCGCGGTGATGAAGCTGGCAAAGAAAAAGCTGTCGACGACGCGGGCGAGAGAAGAGAGAGAGAGAGGGATGTTTTCTGAAACCGTGAAGAGCAAGGTGTGCGCGGGGTAGCCATTGTTTCAGTTTCCGTGTCTTTTAGCTACAGCTTTATAATCTTCATCTTCGTTTTCGTCGAACGAGAGCTGCCGTCGACCATAAAAGACCTCTCACGAGAGAGAAGCCCCCCCCGTTGTCCCTATTTTTCTGCTCCTCTCTCGAGCACGCTGATCTCCCGCATCCATCTGCGCATCTCTAAAGCCGAGAGACTGCCTTTGACAATGCGCTGTCGCATCGCTGCATCCTTGCACATCCCGCAAAATGCGATAAAAAGGAAATAATCTCCTCGACAAATGCAATTAATTTTCAGCGTTAAAGTTAATATTTTACCACCGAAATCAATATCTCGCGTGAAACTTTTCGTTCAAATTTGCCTGCAGTTCGTTACGTACGAGCTACGTAACACATCGCGCAATTAATTCAGAATTAAATATTATCTATAACATTTTCATAATCCACATTTTAGCAGTTCTTAGTACGCTGGTGCAATTCCGCGATAATTTTGATTAAGAAATTTCAGTTGGAAACTGTTATGTACTTCCAAGTAAGAAAATTTGCTTAAATACTTTATTAAGTTAGGCGAGAGAGCAGAAATGCGTTTCCGCAAACTCTTCAGACAATTTCTTCGCAGCTAATTCTTTGTATTACGACAACTTTGGGTAAAACATTAATACAAAGATAAAAGTTTTTGAGATATTTCCGATTGAAAGCCGTTGCGAAGAAATCGATAAGCACAAAGTTGCGAATTGTCGTTGCTTAATATAACTGATTGTAGCGAGCATCATTAAGGTCAAGGAAAGATAAGAGGTATTATCACAAATTACGGACGTTAATCGATCCGCGAGGTGCAAAGGCGGTTGAAACGGACGGCATAAGCTGGCCTGTAATAGAGAGCAGGGATTGCAGACTGCGATTCTACTGTAATTATTGGGACACAGGGATTACGCTACAGCCATAGTGTAATTTCGCTGCCGCCAAACGGGATAACGCCAGCAGCTACCGAAACTGGTGGAACACGACCCATCAACAGATCAACATTAATGGAATTGCGAACGTGCGTCGTTGAAATTATACGTATAATCACGCGTATAAGCACGTAGAAAGATCATTAATTCTCAATTTCTAATCCTAAAAATCTCTACAATAATTAAAATAAATTGTTTTTTATACTGATACATTGTATTGATACAAAATTAATTAGATATTTTAAAAATCGTATCACATCGAGTTAATAGAAGACAAATTACGTGAGTATATTTAAACAATAATTTCCTTCATTTATTGAAATATTGAGTAATTAGAATTTTGGAGAATTTATCAAAATACCAATAAAAAATCTCTCTTTAGCTGAAATAAAATTAAATAACTAGTCACAATCTTTTGCTCAAGAGAAAGATCCGAGATTTTCATTAAAATTGCGGAATCAAATGAAATGCGCTATGATGGTATCAAGCTAGACCAAGCTGGACCCTTGCAAAGTTCCGCCGCTTTGCTCTATGCGCTCCGAAGGGAACCAGGAAGTGCAGCTTGTGCAACAACTCCATTTCCTCATCGGATAAATGTCGCACGGACTTGCGCTCCCTGGAGCGAACCTTTCACGAGCGTCGCATTAGGGAGACGTTAGGGTTAAAGCG